CCCCCGCCCCGCCTTGGCCCTGCTGGCTCCTCCTCCATCAGTGGCTGCTGCTTGCGGCCGCTGGAAGAGGCAGGCTCCCGAAGTGGTGCTGCGCGCCCGCCTGGCCATGCTGCCTTTGCTGGGGCAACCAGGCTGGTCGAGCGCCTTTTCAGCCACCTTTCCCTCTCCTCACTGGCTGCGCTCAGCAACACAGAACCCTGCTGCTGCAAGAGACATTTCGCTTTTAGTAGAAAGCGGGAAGCCCAGAGCCTCCGTGTGACTCAGTCCCCTGTTTATTTATTGCAAGGACTGGCGTGGCTGCCCATCTTCTGTGCCACGACTGGGGGGGCTCGCACCCACAGCGATAAAAGCAAACAAGACAATAAAACACCACGTCCAAGACACAACCTGCTACACAAGCAATTGCAATCACTGGGCTCATCCCAGTGCTGGGGGGAGAGCTTTTTAATATGTGCTCCTAGAAATGCCCCAGTTCGACTCATCCACACAAGCCCCCCAGCACTGGAAGCGTGGCCCTGTCCAGCCACTCTACTCAGACCCATGGCAGGCAAGCAGGAGGCCCCTGTAGGTGGTGTTGCGGGGAGAGAGGTGTCTTTGTAAACTGCATGGGAGCAGGTCCCTGCCCCGAGGACCATACAAAGCTGGCTTCAGCAGAGAAGCCGTCCTCCTGCTGTTCAGGCCAATCTCACCCTAGCAGCTTTCCCGTGCCCCACTTCCACCCGAAGGACCAGGGCAAGACAGCTTTCAGGAAAGGGCAGCGACAGACTTGGGCTTTGCTATCCCCCTCAGGGACCAAAGGGCTGGTCAGCTGGCTCGTCCAAACCGTGCAGCCAACAGTTTCCCCTTCTCCCCAGTGGGGCCAAATGAGGATGAAAAGCTGTGTTGACACAAAGCTCCATTCTCCACCACCCACCCCAGCACCACCCGCAGCTCTGGGACGGATCGGTCGGATTCTGAGGCTGCCACACATTCCTGGGCTCTTCAGAAATATCCCTGAGAAACCGGAATGCTCCAGCTAGCCGGCTGGTTCCCCGCAGTGACGCAAGTTGGAGGCCAGGCACACTTGTGAACAAACGTGGGGTTTGTGCCTGTTCCCCTCCCCACCTGCGTCACATGCGAGGCGTCACAAGTTGGCTGCTCATGGGGAGCTTGCCCGCCCTGCTCCCGGAGGCGCACGTACCTCTTCCACCCCCGCCCTGCAGTTTGCAGCTTAGCTGCCCTTGGGCTGGCTGGGGCTCCGAGGTTTTCTCAGGGGCCACGCTTCCCGGCTCACAGTTTGGCTTTGGAGCAAGGTCAGCATCAAGGAGAGCCCACCCTGTGGCTCTCAGGACGGCTCAGCAGCACCTGAAGGACCAGGCGACCGACGCTGACCTGCTGGAAAGAGCAGCAGCTCCGGCCACATTTCCCACCTGGCAGGAAAGCGGGGGCAAAGAGAAAAGTGGGGGTGGGGGAGAGGATGCTAAGTAAATGATCTGGAGGCATCATTGCCCAGCTCAGGATGAAATGGCCACCTAGCTACCTATGGCAGAAGAAGGCACACCTTTGTCTGCTCTTGTACAAGTCTTCCACGTGCTTGAGGAAGAGCTTGCGCAATAGCTGATCATGGCAGAGGATGGTCTGTCTGCCCAAGAGTGGTTCTTCTGCCGGCATCCTGATCTGTGCTGGAAAGGGAGATCCTGGGATCCGGGAGGCGGGAGATTTTGCTGTGGACACCAGGATCGCCTCTTTCATCTGAGAATGCTTTACAGCACCCATTATTTCTTCCATCTGAGCCCAACTCTTTGGCCCTAGTTTTGGATCGGCTCCAGACAGCCTCAACACCCGGAAGGGGGCGTGACCCCAGGGAGACTGCCCGGCTCTCTAGTGCAGAGGCCAAGGGAGCCTGTGGCAAAGGTCAGGCCGCTCGCTTGCTTAAGGGCCGCCTTCTGTTCCCAGCCTCAGGGTCAGGGCTCAACACTGCTGCCTTGTAGAGGAGGGGAGAGAGGGCGGGGGTCCAGGGATCTTTGGGCACTGCCGCTGCATTTGCCACCTTCTGGGCTCGCCTCTGCTGGCAAGTGATGTCTCTTGCAGCCTTCTGGGCTCGCCTCTGCTAGGCTCGCGTGTCTCTTGCAGGCTCGCCAAGAAGGAAGAGCTGCTGGCTGGCTGTGTGGGTTGCTCGGGATGGGACGAGGGCTGGGGTTGGGGGGGGCTCTAGGAGCCAACCAGCCCACTCCAGCAGAGCAGCCAAGAAGCCCAGGAGGGGCTCCAGGGGCTCCAGCTGTGCACCTGAGCCCTGGCAGGAGCTTAGCTTTCTTTGGCAGAGCTGGAGAAGCTGCGCCGCCCTCTTGCCTTCCCC